GCGGGGAGGAAGCAACTTACCCTCCCTCTTCTCCTGCCTCCTCCTGGCTGAATGAGGGCTGGAAGCAGGGCGGCCGGAAGAAGGGGGCGGGGCTTCGTCATGTGCCCCGCCCCCTGCACCTCACCCAGGGGAACTGTGTTCCCCCCCGAAATGACCTCTGAGTAGGGGTCCGAGTAGGGTGCCAGCCATGATGCTTAACCATTGCTCTCCTCAACCGAAAAGAGTCATGCACCCCTCCCTGCTCTTGCTTCTCTGCTGAATGTTGCCCCCTATCCATTTCCAATTCCCCCCCCCTAAATTGCATTGGGTCTCTTTGTACAAGCTATTAAAATAGTTTGGGGGGGGGAGAGCGAACAAGTCACAGCCAACGTATGATTACCCTTTATGAAGTTTTGAAGGCAAGAAATAAACAGGTGGTTTGCTAATGACTTTCCCTCCATACAAACCCTAGACTTCCTTGGCAGTCTCCCACCCAAGCACTAACCAGGACTGACCCTGCTTAGCTTCCAAGATCTGAAGAGATCAGGCTAGCCTGGGGACATCCAGGTCAGGGGAAAACAGCACCTGATATCACACCTTATACTTTTAAAAACAGAGACAACAAAGGTACCCTTTTGAGAGGATGAAGCGCGGGCTTCTATGGGGACTCCGTGTGTGCACTGGTCTTTAAATGGCAGCTACATTTCAAATCAACGTCCTGCCTAATGCATTGGAGGCATGTTTGGCCCTGCTACATAGAAGCAGCCTTGAGAGGTGCTCACTAAAGCTTAGGAGGCCTGGCCCATAAAGAAACTGAATAGTATTGTCCTTTAAGGAAATGGGATGAGACTTCCTGTAGTTGTTCTTTGTTCCTGAGGAAGGGCCAGAAGTCTGAAACGCTGAATACTACCTAGGAAAAGTGTTCGATATCTACTCTGGACTTTGCATTTTCCTTTCATGGATCCTGTGGGCTTCTGTACTTTCCTATGATGGATTGCATGCATAGATTCATTCTTGATTACATGTGCTTTTCACTTTGTTGAAGTCTCCTTTTGTATATATAAAAGGTAAAGGTTCCCTTGCTCGAAAGCCAGTCGAATCCGACTCTAGGGTTGCGGTGCTCATCTCCGTTTCAAAGCCGAAGAGCCAGCGCTGTCCGAAGACGTTTCCGTGGTCATGTGGCCGGCATGACTAAACACCAAGGCGCACGGAACGCTGTTTACCTTCCCACCAAAGTGGTACTTATTTATCTACTTGCAATGTCTTGCTTTCAAACTGCTAGGTTGGCAGGAGCTGGAATTAGAGACAGGAGCTAACTCCGTCATGAGGTGCACTCGGGTCTCGAACTGCTGAACTACCGACCTTCCAACAGCCTGCAGTTCAGCATCTTAACCACTTGAGCCACCGCAGCTCCTTTTGTATATATATTTTGTGGGTAATTCAGCTCACAGTTGTTTTCTGTTGGACTTTGCTAATGCAATTATTTGACAATCCCTCGTAAAAAAAACAACCCTCTGATGTGTGTGAAAGCTGGTAGTATTGACAGAGCTGGGGGGGGGTTGTGCACAGCACCGTTGCTGACCCACAATGCATTTCGAGAAGTTGTTGTAACACCCGTTCTCTTTACTCACATCCTGACCGGATTGTCCAGGTGGGCCTTGTATGCCTGGCGGACCTCGGGGACCCTGGTCAAAAGAGAATAAATCAAGAATGATGATTATTACGTTAGCAGTGTTCATTTCTCATGTATTTTTTGGGAGGGGGATTTATAGATCTAAAGGCAAAGAATGTGATAAGCCTGTTCTGATATTAACAGGATTCTAATGCTCATGAACTTTTGGGGGATGGGGGTGGAAACAGCTATATCAAAAACATACCCAAATACGCCCCCCTCCCAAATACAGATGATGAAACTGAGCTGTCCTTGTCAGAGAAGACAGTGGTCTCTACATATTTTGGGGACTCTCCAGGGATGCAGAAAAATATGACTTGATCAATTGACTATAGAGGACCTGGGTTGACTATAGAGGACAGCTGAGAGTCAGCTAAAGGGGGAGGTTTCCAAATTATCCCTCCAGATATTGCTTATCCCCCCCCTCCATGAACTAAAGGGGGGGAAGAGTGGAGTCCCTGGGAGCTTAGGAAATCCTGGAGGAGGAGAATAACACAGTGAAGATCCTTGTTCTATGGGACCTCTCTAAGCTCTCCAAGGGATGGAGATGAATTTGTATTGAATCATTTCTTTCACAAAGTTCAGATTAACGTTTGATCTAGAAGGAGGGGCTGTGGCTCAGCGGAAGAGCCTCTGCTTTGAATGCAGAAGGTCCCAGGTTCAATCCCTGGCATCTCCGGTTAAAAAGAATCAAGCAGTAGGTGATATGAAAGACCTTTGTCTGGGACCCTGGAGAGTTGCTGCCAGTTTGAGTAGACAAGACTGAGTTCCTTTTGGTATTTTTGCATTGTGTGTATGTGTGTGCCTGCCCATGCCTGGAAGTCGTGGCAACCTCCCGCAACTCCTACTGGGGCATGGAGGACATTCAGAGAAGTGGCTTGATGGCCTGCCTCTGGCTTCCTGGCCATGGTATTCTCTAGAGGTCTCCCATCCAAATACTTCCCAGGGTTGGCCCTGCTTAGCTTCCGAGATCTGATGAGATCGGGCTTGCCTGGGCTATCCAGGTCAGGGCAACAATACTGGCTTTGATGGACCAATGGTCCGATTCAGTGTAAGGCAGTTTCATGTGTGTTCAATGGCCAGGAAGGTCCACAACATGGACTATCACCACCCCACCCATACCTGAGACAGTCTCCGTGAAATGTGTAGCTGAATTCTCCATTATCCTTTCCAGGGCTATTTTGGGGCAGGAACGCACAGGAACGGAGTTCTGGGTGGCTCCCAAGTTGGCCACACCCAGCAGGAACTCATTAGCATAATAGGCCACACCATAATAGGCCACACCCAACAGCAGGAACTCATTAGGATTGGCTACATTAGGGGGGTGTGGCCTAACATGCAAAGGACTAACATGCAAAGAGTTCCTGCTCCAAAAAAAGGCCCTGGGCTTTGACAACAAACAAGGTAAACAGAATAAGAAGCAAAAGGTGGGTGTGGCTGGATGAGCACACTTCTGGTAACACGGGGGTGTGGCCTAATAGACTAATGAGCTGTGCTGTCATGGGTGTGGCCCAATATGCTAATGAGTTCCTGCTGGGCTTTTTCTACAAAAAAAGCCCTGATCCTTGCCATAATGTCAGACAAAAGAAGAGCAGAAGCAAGCATTAAAAATTTCTTCCCACCCACAAAAAGCAGCATATAGGTAGAAAGACATACTGTACCAATGGTCCTTTCTCTCCGGGAGGTCCCACAGGGCCCTGAAAAGAAACAACATTTTTTAAAAAAATCATCGAGAGTGAAGTTTCCTTATGTTGGTTGTAGTCCGGTAGGTACTGTGAATACAGCTGAGCTTTGCTATGGTCTCTGATGGGCAGGACTCAACAGAACCAGAGCCCCCCCTTTGCTATGGTATCTGATGAGACTGGTTGGACTCACAGTAGGGGGGTGAGAGTTCCATAGATACACCCAATATTTTCTGTTTTGGGAATATTTCGAAAGACTGAAAATACTTGCAAAATTCAAGGAGTGATGAAAATTTCAGGTTTTGGGGGGGGCAGGAATGGGGAAGTCAAGAGTGGAAGCTGCACACGGCAAAGAGCTGCACACGACAAAGGCGTCTTTGTCCCCTTTAAATTTTAGAGAGCCATTATGCTCTAGGGGAGGCAAAGTCTACCCCTCCCCCCAGAGAGCTTTAGGGTTGCCAGCCTCCAGGTGGGGCCTGGGGAACTCCCACTTTTAGAACTGATCTCCAGCTGACAGAGGTCAGCTCCCAGCTCCCCTGGAGAAAATGGCTGCTTCAAAGGGTGGACTCTATGGCACTGTATCTAAAATAAACAGGGCCAACTGCACTTTATAACGCAAGGCATTTGAATTGAAGACTATAGCACACTATCTTGGGGAAGAGGCCATGGCCCAGTGGTAGAACATCGGCTTGGCATGCAGATGGTTGTTGGTTCAATACCCGGCATCTCCACTTAGAAGGACCAGGCAGTAGGTGATGTGAAAAACCTTCACTTGGGAACCTAGAGAGCCACTGCTAGGCTGTGGTTACATGGTCGTTTTGATTGGGTTTCACTGCTGTTTCCTCCTGGTTTAAAAATTGCTGATCAGACGGGCTGATCTGCCTCCCACGCCGAAGCGGACTCACTCCCGCAATGTTCCCGGTTCTCTCCCGTGTTTTCCTGCACCGGGAAAATTAAGTACTTTCCGGGTATTTGCATTTTGAATCCGCAATTTTGCCCATCTGGACAACCATCTCTCGCAATGATTGTGATTAGGGCTGTCTGACTGTTCTTTGTGTGAAGAGTTTTTCCCACTCCAGCTTCCGCCTTTGAGCGCATGAGCAATCCTGCGCTGAACAAAACCATTATTTAAACATTCAAGAGCACATCCAGTGTGGAGGTCGTGGTCCTGCCCACCCCAGAAGTCCCCGAAGCTGCAGTGGGCAGCAGGAGGTGGTGTGGAAAGTGGTTGGGGGGGAGGTGGGCAGGGGGGAAGGAAGTGCTGGGTGGGCTGGCAGGCGAGCAGGTGGCAGAGAGGAAGGGGCCCGCTGCATCTAGACAGTGAACAGAGCCTCCTCGCAAGATGCTTCCGGTTCGGGGAGGGATGTGTGATCATCCCAACCGGGGGGGGGGGGGGGAGTTTGCCATGTGACCACAGCCCCAGTCTGAGGAAACAAGACTGACTTTGATAGACCAAGGTGTGATTCAGTACAAGTTAGCTTCATGTGTTCATGTGTTGACACGCCTTCCTGACTTCTACATATAGCGATAGTTGATGAATCAGTGAGCGAGGTGGGGGCTGAAGTCATGGAGTCTCATTATAGAAATAAGCTCAGAGACAGAGCGTCTGCTTGGAATGCAGAAGATCCCAGATT